GCACGAATGTTGAAAATATATATATATATATATATATATATATATATATATATATATATATATATATATATATATATATATATATGTGTGTGTGTGTGTGTGCACGCGCGCATGTGTGTGTATGCGCACGCGTGTGTGTTATCGATTCAATTGTGAATAAGCGTGTTTTTCACCTCTTGACTAGCCATGGGTTCGAACCTTGGCTTTGCGTTGACGAATTCACCCGCAACACCAACAGTGCTTAGGGCAGCTTCTTAATGGAACGTGCGCCGCTGAAACCCGTTTCTGGTTATCTGACTTTTCAAAATAAGCCTGGTGCTGGTCGTAAGTCTTCATACGACAATGAACAACTGAGGACAGCCGTACAAGCTCCTCCAAAAACAAACTAACATTTTGAAGGTGTGAATATGTGGGTAGCCCATACAGCAGCCGAAAAAAAAAAAAAAAAAAAACATTTGGTATCTGGCTTTAAATCGACAAAGTGAAGGAAATACAGAAATCACTGGCCATGAATAGCTTGCAAAATTCGACACTTGCTGCAATTTGCCTATTCATTTAAAGTAAAGAACAAAGGCCTGCTGTGATTTTTGTATAGTTGGAAATGTGACTTTGATCGGGTCAGAAAACTTGTTTCCTGTTCAACATTTCCTAAACCCAAATCACCGTCCAGAAAAAAGTTCCTCTTGATCCCTTTTAATGCTTTCATCCATTTAAGACTTCCTTAACCTTCTCAGATCATCACAGCAGCGGCTGTGAAAAAAAATAGCGCAAAACATTTTATTACTCAGTAGCTCTATCTCATCCTCTATTTCAAGAACGTAGGCGTGCGATCTTCGCCCTCCCGGTACAGACCCATCAGTCTCACTAGTATCATCAGCAAGCATTCTCAGACCATAATCAATAAGAAGGTCATCGAATACCGACAAAAGAACAAACTCTTCAACGACGAGCAGTATGGATTTCAGTCGGCTTGATCCACTGCCGACATCCTAACTACCATCATTCATAGAATCAGTGAGGCTCTTGACGACAAACGTACCTCTAGGATATAGTACTAGATTTCTCAAAGGTTTTCGAAAAGGTGTGGCACAAAGTCTTACTACACAAGCTCTTCAGTTATGGAATGACTGGAAGGGGGCTTCTCGATCATAAAATTCTTCCTAACAGGTAGGTCCCTGCGGGTAGTTTTCAATGGCCGGTTCTCTGGAGCCATAGAGGTCAACGTAGGCGTCCACCAGGGGACACTTCTTGGACCAACCTTCTTTTTGATCTACATAAATGGTCTACCTAAGAATATATTCAGATCATTTGTAAACATCTATGTTGATGATACGACGATATACAGCAGCACCTCTAAAACTCTTGATGTTCAGAGGGTAGCGGCTGAACTTGCACAAACTACCCAGTGGGGTAAAAACATTCAATGCCTCGAAGACCAAGCTAGTTACATTCCATTATCGCGAATCTGACGCCGAACTACCACCAATCTGGATGAACAGAGGTCGTCTAGGGGAAGCACTGTGCCTTGAAAGACTGTTGGGCTTCAAATTCATACTCGGTCTGAAGTGGAACTTGTACATACGATCCATTGTTAAGGATGCAAACAAAATAGTCGGCTCTCTTTACCGCTCCAGTAAGTACTTCACTTCTCCTACTGTTCTCTACGTTTACAAGAGCCAGATAGGCTAAAAATGGAGTACTATTTTGATATCTGAGTATTTTTTTTCTTTTAAATTGAAAGAAATGAATGACAAAAATATTTTGTGAACTTCACACAAAATGTTTTGTGTATGCTTTTTTTTTGCAGTACAACTGAATGAATTCCGTTATGACTAAAATATGTCAATATACGTGCAGATGTATGTGTCAAGTGTACTTGATCTATATGATAGCTCTGTTGTGTATGAATTGTAGTTGTAGACCTTATGAAATAAACGCTGGAAGTTGTTGCGACTGTTGACGCATGTAAACAAACTATCTCTAAGCATTATTTTATAATATTGTATACTCGAATAGATAAGGGAAAGATGTAAGTAATTAATTGTGTGAATTCAAGTTTCGTTTCTGTGACAAACGAGCGAACAAACGCCCTCGTCAAAGATTAACTGAAACACTCGTCAGTGAGCAAGAATTGATCATATTTATATTGGGTTGTGCATAATTATCAGGCGTTTATGTAAATTTTAAATTTGTTTTGTTTACTTTTTTTTTAAATAAAGATATTATTTTATTTTCAGGTTATAAAAATGCGTGTCTGTAGTCATACTCTCCGGAATAAAAAAAAATCCTTAAAAATATTATTGTTGAATTGTTATGCATCTTTTTTTATAATAAATATTGTTTTAAAAACACCTGAAAATTATGCGACGACCCAATAATAACAAAGTAGGCTCCGATGAATCTAAAATTTAGATTTATTAATCGTAAACTTATTGGCTAATTTATATTTTTAAATATTCCTTTTAAGGGAGAAAAATATTGTTGAACATATTCTGAAGTTGAGCCTCCAAAATTTCAGTTTAAGATATTTTACCGTCTGCCAATTCAAAGAATACCGCGCGTCTCGTACGACGTCGCTGGTTGGTTAATATATATGAATACAAAGATTCAAATAATCGAGCCTGTCAATGCACAGAAATTGAGATACTTTTTGTATGATGAGTTTTCAGTACTTAACTCTATTAGAATTTTTCTACAATTCTGAAACAGGGCTCCACACACACACACACACACACACACACACACACACACACACACACACACACATACATATATGTATATAATGATAAAGTCAATTGGTAATCCGTATATAAATCCTGAGAGCACAATGTGATAACAGAGCAAGTGATAATTAATTAACAAATCGGAGACTTCAGAAAGCCATGGTAATATTTTATTCGAGACTTTCATGCGCAACGCAATCCTCATGTGCTGATTAGAAACTGACCATTACATAATTTAAATACTAATATTTACTGTACTGTAACGATAGACCATTTTATTTACGAGGGTTTCAGTGATTAAAAATAATAATATGAAATAATAATTTATACACATACAAATACACATATACACACACATACCTTGAAATAAAAAAATATTACTATTATTAAAATACAGATACACACATTTAATATCTAGTTTTTAAATATAATACAAATGTACATACAAATATGTCATTCACATATACACCTATATATATACATCCAATTTTACATAGATATACAAAGGTGTACGTACAAAATTTTATTTATAATATCTATCTACATTTCAACATGTTCGCTATATGTTCATAATAGATATAAATACATCTACATACATACACATCTACTAAAGAAACTTAAATAAAATAATCTGATCCACTATCATCACAGTGAAGTATAAATATGAATATTTAAATAATGCGAAGGTCAGTTTTCAATCAGCACCTGACAATTGCATCGTGCATGAATCTCAGATTGGTTCTACCGGTGATGAAAAATGTAAATTTATTATTAATATAAATTATAACTGTGTTGTTATATATCGAGCACTATTTTATTAGAACCAGCACTCAATGTGCACGGTATTATATATATATATATATATAGTTAAACCTATAGAGACAAACCTACCAAGGTTTCACCTAAGCGGATCGTCAGGGAAGGCTGGCTAAGTTTAACTAGGTCTGCTCTACTCATTGTATTGAGCACTTTATTTAGTTATTTTGGGTATTCGCATCGGGATTTTTTTTCTTTGGGCCTTGGACTTGCATTATTTTCGGCTAACGTACATGTTCTTGGTTCTTTCTTTTTTATACCCCTTTTCCCTTTGGTATTGGCTTGTTTATTTGCAAATCAAGATACCGAAGGTTTTCCGAGCAAGTATAGTTTCTTATACTTATAAGATTTCTATTAATATATATATATATATATATATATATATATATATATATATACATATATATATATATATATATATATTTATATATATATATATAGTATAAAATACCAGAATTGCTGGTTCTTTTTCCGTGTGGAAAAGCCATTTGGGCGGACAGGTATTTGTCATAAAGTGCTCGAAATCAAAATATAGGATAGAGCGTTAATAGAATTAATTTGGAGGAGTTTATCACTTAGCTGAGTGGTGTTGGTTCAGTCATGCCTACTACGTAGTTTCAGGAGCACGTCAAGATAACATGTTCACTCTACAAGGCTTGTTGTCTTCTCTCAAATCCTGAAAAGTGAACATGTTATCTTGATGTGCTCACGAAACTACGTAGTAGGCATGACTGAAACTCAGCCAAGTGATAAACTCCTCCAAACTATATATATATATATATATATATATATATATATATATTATTTTAAGGTATGCTATATTTATGGGTTGAAATGCTCAATATCAGGGATACTGTGTATATAAATATTAAAGTGGACAGAGAAATATAGACCTAGCGGCGGCAGTCTGTTTCATGCTTACACGCCGTCGTTATGACCTGACAATTGCGTATAAGCATGAAACAGATTGCCGCCGCTGGTTATTGACTTCAATCTCCATTTTTATCTATCTATCTATCTATCTATCTATCTATCTATCTATCTATCTAAAAAATATAAATAAATAAATAAAGACGAGACACAGGTCTATAAAATGATAGATATAGAAGTATCTATAAACAGAAAGAACAATAAAAAAATGTTTCATTCTAGCGCCACAAGACAACGATCATTTATATTGCCCCAACTTAATGATCGTGAATTTTGGGCAAATACCTGATTTGGGAGAGAAATTCGTGCAGGAAACCTGCTTTTCCGCTGTCACACGAGCATTAATGTTTTATAACGTTTCATTCAGACTCTGAATGTGAGAAGCAGACGATAAAGCAAGCTTACGGCATTATCTTTATTTTTTTTCGTGAAAAGATTGATGAATGACAGCAGAAGACAAAAGAGAAAGTATCGCCGTGGTGGGCCCTTGTCCCGCTCGCTTGTATAGCGGCCACGTGCAACTGAGTGGACATTACATCGTCATGAATAGAAAAGCTCTGCTAATGGATAAACCGCTCAAGCCGGTTGCCGTATCCAGGGTAACGGCGTAGCTCCTGTGTATCTATGTGCAATTGTACGACCATCCCGCACTCCCGTCCGATTTTGGAAAAAACTCAAAAGAGAAAAGGGCGACATTTAATTATTGACAGGAATCTTGCGACTTTTGTGCCGCCGCTAAATTAGCAGTAAAATGGTTTCTACAAAGACGACATCAAAATATCTTCTTTTTCCCTTGGTGAATCCATACGTTCGTAAAAAGACAAGCTGAAGTGAATTTATGTTTATTCATTTCTTTTCATTATTTTCCATAAATTTAGTTGGTTGGTTGTTTTTGTTTACCGGTAGATCAACACCTTTATGGTTTTTTTTTTCATTCTGAAATCTAAATATTTTGTACAGAAAATATGACTCGATTTTGTAAGTCAAAATTTTGGTTTAGTTATATCTTGGAATATTAGACAAAACTACTTTTAGCGCAGCCTAGTCTAGGTTCAATTGTGGATTGATTAATTCGTTTTCTACGGTTTATCAACCCTGTACAGGTTATTTAAAGCCAGAAAATATTTTTAGATTGTAAGAATTTTTTTTTGAGCGGGGAGGTAATAATGATTTTGTAAAGGCTAGAGAATCTGATACTCACAGATTCTACAAAGACATCAAAATATCTTCTCTTCCCCTGTTGAATCCATACATTCGTAAAAAGACAAGCTGAATTGAATTTATGGTTATTCATTTCTTTTCATTATTTTCCATAACTTTAGTTGGTTGGTTGTTTTTGTCTAGCGGTAGATCAACACCTCTATGGGTTATTTCATTCTGAAATCTAAGTATTTTGTACGGACAGCAAAATATTTTGATTCCGGAAAGAAATATTTACTCATGGCCAGTTGTATGTTGCATACTCAAGAGTAAGAAATTCTAAGAATTTATTCTTCGCTGCTAAAAAGGAAAAATGAAAAATAGAAATTTTCTTAAAAAATACTGTTTGCCATGAAGTCCTATAAAAGAGGGAAAGAGAGACAAGGGAAAGCCACAGAATGACATACGTGGCGGTATTAAACGAGTGGATGACAGAAAGTGGTCTGGGGGAGGTGGAAGAGGGACGAAACATATTGAGAGCTACAACGGATGGGGGGGTAGTGGAAAGCCATGATCGCCTACGTCCCGAAAGGACACGGCACATAAAAAGAAAAGATATAAAGCTTACTGATTAACCCACAGCCGGGGGGGGGGAACATGTGAATTCTTATCAAACCAGAATTTGATAAACAAACAATAACTTATCATGTGGATATAAAATGAGGGATCAATTCTATATTACAACCAACATAAAAACTGAAAACTCAATTTGTGACCACATCACTTTCTATACATTTATATTTCAAAGAATGTAAATAAATCTAAAAGTCATGTCTGTGAATCTAATCAGTATTTGATTGTTTGTTTCGTTTTCCATGTCAACCATATGCAAGGAATTTAAAGCAAGAAAATAATTTTAGATTGTAAGAGTTTTTCTTTTAAAATAATAATAGTTTTAGTGATAAAAATCTTACTAATTAAACCATAGCTGGTGGAGTAGAAGTAAATTCATACCTTTCCCAAGGTTATTAGTGCGTTAATGAATATAACGAAACCAACTGGAATTGAACTCAGATCTACAATTCCGATCCATTATCCATTACAACACCCACACATCTAAACTTACGGCACTTGGTATTGGTACCCATTTAGGTACTGATCAGGCCGGACGTTGCTTAACTTCGGTGATCGTACGAGAACTGGTGTTTCCATGTCATATTGGCATAAGCTCTGTAGAGCATCCACTCATCCAAGCTTACTGCACTTGGTATTCTCAAGCGGTCACCTGTCTAGGTACTGACCAAGCTCGACGTTGCTTAACTTTGCTGATCGTACGAGAATCGGTGTTTCAACGTGATATTGTCGTAACTCCTTTAGACCTCTGTACATCAAAGCTTACAGCACCTGGCATTCCGCAAGTTGTCAATCATCTAGGTACTGACCAAGCTCGACGTTGCTTAACTTTGCTGATCGTACGAGAATCGGTGTTTCAACGTGATATTGTCGTAACTCCTTTAGACCTCTGTACATCAAAGCTTACAGCACCTGGCATTCCGCAAGTTGTCAATCATCTAGGTACTGACCAAGCTCGACGTTGCTTAACTTTGCTGATCGTACGAGAATCGGTGTTTCAACGTGATATTGTCGTAACTCCTTTAGACCTCTGTACATCAAAGCTTACAGCACCTGGCATTCCGCAAGTTGTCAATCATCTAGGTACTGACCAAGCTCGACGTTGCTTAACTTTTTTTTGCTGATCGTACGAGAATCGGTGTTTCAACGTGATATTGTCGTAACTCCTTTAGACCTCTGTACATCAAAGCTTACAGCACCTGGCATTCCGCAAGTTGTCAATCATCTAGGTACTGACCAAGCTCGACGTTGCTTAACTTTGCTGATCGTACGAGAATCGGTGTTTCAACGTGATATTGTCGTAACTCCTTTAGACCTCTGTACATCAAAGCTTACAGCACCTGGCATTCCGCAAGTTGTCAATCATCTAGGTACTGACCAAGCTCGACGTTGCTTAACTTTGCTGACAGTACGAGTATCGGTTTTTCAACGTGATATTGTCGTAACTCCTTTAGACCTCTGTACATCAAAGCTTACAGCACCTGGCATTCCGCAAGTTGTCAATCATCTAGGTACTGACCAAGCTCGACGTTGCTTAACTTTGCTGATCGTACGAGAAATCGGTGTTTCAACGTGATATTGTCGTAACTCCTTTAGACCTCTGTACATCAAAGCTTACAGCACCTGGCATTCCGCAAGTTGTCAATCATCTAGGTACTGACCAAGCTCGACGTTGCTTAACTTTGCTGATCGTACGAGAATCGGTGTTTCAACGTGATATTGTCGTAACTCCCTTTAGACCTCTGTACATCAAAGCTTACAGCACCTGGCATTCCGCAAGTTGTCAATCATCTAGGTACTGACCAAGTTCGACGTTGCTTAACTTTGCTGATCGTACGAGAATCGGTGTTTCAACGTGATATTGTCGTAACTCCTTTAGACCTCTGTACATCAAAGCTTACAGCACCTGGCATTCCGCAAGTTGTCAATCATCTAGGTACTGACCAAGTTCGACGTTGCTTAACTTTGCTGATCGTACGAGAATCGGTGTTTCAACGTGATATTGTCGTAACTCCTTTAGACCTCTGTACATCAAAGCTTACAGCACCTGGCATTCCGCAAGTTGTCAATCATCTAGGTACTGGCCAAGCTCGACGTTGCTTAACTTTGCTGATCGTACGAGAATCGGTGTTTCAACGTGATATTGTCGTAACTCCTTTAGACCTCTGTACATCAAAGCTTACAGCACCTGGCATTCCGCAAGTTGTCAATCATCTAGGTACTGACCAAGCTCGACGTTGCTTAACTTTGCTGACAGTAAGTATCGGTTTTTCAACGTGATATTGTCGTAACTCCTTTAGACCTCTGTACATCAAAGCTTACAGCACCTGGCATTGCTGACCAAGCTCGACGTTCTTAACTTTGCTGAGTACGAGAATCGGTGTTTCAACGTGATATTGTCGTAACAAGACCTCTGTACATCAAAGCTTACAGCACCTGGCATTCCGCAAGTTGTCAATCATCTAGGTACTGACCAAGCTTTAACTTTGCTGATCCGAGAATCGGTGTTTCAACGTGATATTGTCGTAAAGACCTCTGTACATCAAAGCTTACAGCACCTGGCATTCCGCAAGTTGTCAATCATCTAGGTACTGACCAAGTTCGACGTTGCTTAACTTTGCTGATCGTACGAGAATCGGTGTTTCAACGTGATATTGTCGTAACTCCTTTAGACCTCTGTACATCAAAGCTTACAGCACCTGGCATTCCGCAAGTTGTCAATCATCTAGGTACTGACCAAGTTCGACGTTGCTTAACTTTGCTGATCGTACGAGAATCGGTGTTTCAACGTGATATTGTCGTAACTCCTTTAGACCTCTGTACATCAAAGCTTACAGCACCTGGCATTCCGCAAGTTGTCAATCATCTAGGTACTGACCAAGCTCGACGTTGCTTAACTTTGCTGATCGTACGAGAATCGGTGTTTCAACGTGATGCAGCCGTAAGCCTGAACCGTATAAATTTAGAATACAACCCTTAAATGTTAAGTGGAGAGAAAATTAGTTGTCTGTATTAATAATTGTTGACAATGCTACATCTAAAAATAAATGCAATTGTTCGTTTGAGCATTGACTAGCAAAGAGAATTAAAGCGCGCAAACATTCTAGCGATTCGGCTATCTTATCGTTTTCAAATGCCTCACAACGATCATCTTTGATATTTGGAGTACACCTGCTATGTTCTCTGTCGTGTGATCAGGATTCATTTTAATCAGCGTTTCGGTTGGTCAATATCAACGACTGTATGCTTAGCGTTAACTGTTCGATCTTCCAGAACAAAATTTTCCACTTATGAACCTAGCAAACTACTTACAAACGTTATTTTTCCGTTATGGTAGCTATATACAAAATCTGTGACTTCCGTTATTTCGTCCGTCTGTTCGTCACACCCTTTAAAATAGCCATGCATTGACCGATCAAAATCACATTTTGGAGAGAAGTGCAAACAGGTAAGTGGGTACAAAATATAATTAGTTTTACCAAGGTGAGTAGCTTAGTTCAATAAATTTTCAATACTGAATTTTTATTAAATAAGTGTTTGATATTTTAATCATTAAATTGTTTCTAAAATAGTGTAAGTATTTTGTATATTAAATAATAAATCTTTTACTTTTTCTGAAAACAATAAATACTTATTTAATAAAAAGTCAGTATTGCTTTTTGCATATGTTTCTTTAAGAATATATATATATATATACAAGAATCAAGTTTCCAGTTCGTCCTGCGTTTACGTGAATTATAAATAAATCACAAGGCCAAATATTTCAAAAAGTTGAAATTTGGCTCCAGAAAGAAATATTTACTCATGGCCAGTTGTATGTTGCATACTCAAGAGTAAGAAATTCTAAGAATTTATTCTTCGCTGTTAAAAAGGAAAAATGAAAAAAATAAATTTTCTTAAAAAATACTGTTTACCATGAAGTCCTATAAAATTAAATTAAATTAAAGAAATCTTTTAAAAAATTGTCAAAGTATTTTTCCAAACAAATCAGCTTATTCAAAATTCATTGATTGGTTTGCGAAATTGAACGAAACGTAGATTTTGTAAATCATGACCAAAAAGAGATAACTTCAACAATACTAAATATAGTTAGGATTTTAACACGCGTCAGCGTCTCGCAAAAAAAAAAAAAAAAAAAAAATCTAGTCTCCATAAACGGCACATAATTTTTTTTGTACAGTGATTTTAATTTTTCTCTCCTGAAATAAAATGACATTTTTCACCTATTTCACGTTTAAGGTAAAAACATTTAAAATTCAAAATCTACACGCGAATCCTTTCGAACAAGGGTGAGCAAATTTACTTATTGCAAGAGCCACATACGATAAAGTTCAGATTTGTGAGAGTCGCAAAAAATGAACAAGATTCACATATACGTTTCTATTACATAAATATTTTGTTACAAAACTGTTATATAAATATAAAGAAATGCATGTATGCAATAATATTTATTCATGCATCCAGTTGTTTAAACTGCTAATTTATATTTTGTTTCAATAATCACAAACTATATATATATATATATATATATATATATATATATATATATATATATATCAAATGTTTTCAAAATCTTGACTGAAGATTGTTCTAACTATATTGAGCGTATTTGATAGGTTAATGAACTACGGGAATTACCTTTTATACTAACTGTGATGGGAAAAGGACAGCAGCCAAACACATTTCCACGAGCTACATATTAAAGGTCAAAGAGCCGTATCTGCCTCTTGGGCAGCGGTTTGGTCACCCCTGATACGAAAAGACGTGTTGAAAAGAATATGCTTATATGTCTACAAATTTCACTTATGTTTAAAATGGAAACATAAACCAGCTGGGTATGACAATAAACTACATCCGGCAGCAAGATTAGAGATTTTGAGGAACAAGAAACCACATCTTGACTGTTGTTGTTCCCAGGTCCACCCTGGCACGAGGTGGTAGTACCTGTTAGGGTCCCAACTATGGCCAAAGAGTGAACCCCAAACAAAAATCAGCAATATATTTTTATAATAAAATTATCCACAATACATTTTATAGCAAAACGACAATGCAACACTGAAAATATATATAAAAATACATTTTTATAGTAAAATTCCCAACAATACGTTTTATTATTTGGGTTATTTAATGCCGAAAACTAAATATTTTGAACACAATTTTATGGCTTCAACTAAATATATTTTGAACGCAATTATATACCGATCAGAGTCCTTGCTAAAGGATGTAGTTTCGCATTTTTGTTAGTCAAACCAGCTAAATTAAGTTAAGCTAATCTAGGCAGCAATATCTCACCATTTTGCGGTTGAAATGGCTTGATGTAACCGTAAGTTCTATGCTAACAGATTCCTCTCTTGCACTTTTCGCTTGTGAAAATCTCTTTGCCTTCCAGTAAACTTCAAAAATTTAAATGCAATATCGTCATTTTCTGCTTTCTTATCTTTTGTTCTTTTATTGTCCTCTCTCTCTAATAATATCCTTGATAAAACCTTTAATAATAACTTTAATAATAACTTTAATAATACCTTTAATAATATCTTTAATAATAAATTTAATATCTTTAATAATTCATTTAAAAATATCTTCAATAATTCATTTAAAAATATCTTCGATAATACCTTTTATAATATGTTTAATAATAATTTTTATACTATCTTTAATAATTCATTTAAAAATATCTTTAATAATTCATTTAAAATATCTTCGATAATACCTTTTATATGCTTAATAATAATTTTTATACTATCTTTAATAATTCATTTAAAAATATCTTTAATAATACCTTTAATAATATTTTCAATAATACCTTTAATATTATCTTCATTAATAACTTTAATATCTTTAATAATTCATTTAAAATATCTTCGATAATACCTTT